ACCCACTCCATGCCCCACCCACTACATGTCTTACCCACTCAATGTCCCGTCCTCACAATGTGCCACCCACTCTCAATGCCCCATCCACTCCATACCCCACCCACTGAATGCCCCGCCCACACCATGTCCCACCCACTGAATGCCCCGCCCACTACATGTCTCACCCACTCCATGCCCCACCCACTCAATGTCCCGTCCACACAATGTGCCACCCACTCAATGGCCCACCCACACCATGTCCCACCCACTGAATGCCCCACCCTCCCAATGGCCAGTGCTCCCGGTACGGGACTGATGTCGGTGGGAGACGCCTATATCGATGCTGGTATTCAACCTTGTAGAATATCACCCCCTCGTTAATATTGGGTTTAGTAATAAGTGGAAATAAACAGCATGATTTCCCCCTCGCCACTGAGTAGAGTCAATAAGACGGCTGATGTTATTGCCCGCCGTGAAAAGACTCCAGTAAAGCCCTTGTGGCCAGGACAAAGGAGTATCAGGCTTACGAACCGAAGCAGGCAATAATGCAGTAGCAATGTTTCGCACACAAAGATTTACTGCATTGCACACGAGGGAACGGTACTGTCGATTCTTTCAAAACAAGATTATGGATATAAGCTCAATAATGGGCTGAAGACCCCCGAGTGTTGTGTTCAAATAGCTTGTTCTCAGTATACAATGCTGTGTTAGTCGTACAGGAGGATATATCTAATGTATCTCACCCTTGCTGTGAGAGGCTGTGTTAGTCGTACAGTAGGATATATCTAATGTATCTCACCCTTGCTGTGAGAGGCTGTGTTAGTCGTACAGTAGGATATATCTAATGTATCTCACCCTTGCTGTGAGAGGCTGTGTTGGTCTTACAGTAGGATATATCTAATGTATTTCACCCTTGCTGTGAGAGGCTGTGTTAGTCGTACTGTAGGATATATCTAATGTATCTCACCCTTGCTGTGAGAGGCCGTGTTGGTTGTACAGTAGGATATATCTAATGTATCTCACCCTTGCTGTGAGAGGCTGTGTTAGTCGTACAGTAGGATATATCTAATGCATTTCACCCTTGCTGTGAGAGGCTGTGTTAGTCTTACAGTAGGATATATCTAATGTATCTCACCCTTGCTGTGAGAGGCTGTGTTGGTCTTACAGTAGGATATATCTAATGTATTTCACCCTTGCTGTGAGAGGCTGTGTTGGTCTTACAGTAGGATATATCTAATGTATTTCACCCTTGCTGTGAGAGGCCGTGTTAGTCGTGCAGGAGGATATATCTAATGTATCTCACCCTTGCTGTGAGAGGCTGTGTTACACGTACAGTAGGATATATCTAATGTTTTCACCCTTGCTGTGAGAGACTGTGTTGGTCGTACAGAAGGATATATCTAATGCATTTCATGCTTCCTTGTTTATATATAACTCTGTGTGTGGATGCTTTATCGTAGATCTGTGCGTGTAATATACGCGAGTAGTGGTACAGCGGTGGCGTTAAAAAGAGGGGCGGGCGGTACCCTATCAGCATGCCGTGTCGTCTGCTACTTGTCAATCATACTTTGCGCTAAGCAGATGGCTGGACAAGACACTGAATCTCTCTCAGTCTTCACATGATTTATGCCAAGAAGACGACGACACCAAGAAGCTAGGCAATATCAGCGCGGGGAGTGTGATAAGTCAAAACTCCTCACAGCTCGCTCCGGGGAATAGTTTATTTTGCGATTTCATCAATAGCAAAGATATTCGACCCCCGAAAAGAAATTGCGGACTTGCATGTCCTAACAACTTGAAAGTGTGGCACAGAGATGAGGGTGTCTTAAGGACTGTATCTTTAATTTGTCGGGACCTACTTCTACCTGGATGTTTGAGTGGTTGTGTTGAACTAATCAATGTCGTCTACCCGCATGGGAAACTATTTGCAGGTTTGAACGATAGGCGTGGGAAGTTCTCACATTTTGTGTTTTGAGTTTCATCGTTGCGGAATATTCAACTATTGAAGGAAAGTAGCAGATTGGGTGTGAACTCGAAAGGTTCCTGTTGACACTAGCTTGTCAATGTACAGAAATAGTCCACCTTTAACCGCCGTCTGTTGATTAACGGACGGATAAGGGTTTTAGGAAAGGAACATTCCAATATACAATATGCTGTTTATAAGTATATGTAACCACTTTGGCAAATATTTGCTGTAAACGATACGCTCCCACAAACCAACCCTTCACCAGCGTATACCGGCATTCACGATTTGCGACGGAAGATTTCACCTGTGATGAACTGCTGAATGAAGGTTTCATCTGTGATCAACTACTGAAGGAAGGATTCACATGTGATCAACTACTGAAGGAAGGATTCATCTGTGATCAACTACTGAAGGAAGGTTTCATCTGTGATCAACTACTGAAGGAAGGATTCATCTGTGATCAACTACTGAAGGAAGGTTTCATCTGTGATCAACTACTGAAGGAAGGTTTCACATGTGATCAACTACTGAAGGAAGGTTTCATCTGTGATCAACTACTGAAGGAAGGATTCATCTGTGATCAACTACTGAAGGAAGGTTTCTTCTGTGATCAACTGCTGAAGGAAGGTTTCACATGTGATCAGCTACTGAAGGAAGGTTTCATCTGTGATCAACTACTGAAGGAAGGTTTCACATGTGATCAACTACTGAAGGAAGGTTTCATCTGTGATCAACTACTGAAGGAAGGTTTCATCTGTGATCAACTACTGAAGGAAGGTTTCATCTGTGATCAACTACTGAAGGAAGGATTCATCTGTGATCAACTACTGAAGGAAGGTTTCATCTGTGATCAACTACTGAAGGAAGGATTCATCTGTGATCAACTACAGAAGGAAGGTTTCATCTGTGATCAACTGCTGAAGGAAGGATTCATCTGTGATCAACTACTGAAGGAAGGTTTCATCTGTGATCAACTACTAAAGGAAGGTTTCATCTGTCTTCAACTACTGAAGGAAGGTTTCACATGTAATCAACTACTGAAGGAAGGTTTCACATGTGATCAACTACTGAAGGAAGGTTTCACGTATGATCAACTACTGAAGGAAGGTTTCACATGTGATCAACTACTGAAGGAAGGTTTCACATGTGATCAACTACTGAAGGAAGGTTTCACATGTGATCAACTACTGAAGGAAGGTTTCACATGTGATCAACTACTGAAGGAAGGTTTCACGTATGATCAACTACTGAAGGAAGGTTTCACATGTAATCAACTACTGAAGGAAGGTTTCACATGTAATCAACTACTGAAGGAAGGTTTCACGTGTGATCAACTACTGAAGGAAGGTTTCACATGTGATCAACTACTGAAGGAAGGTTTCACATGTGATCAGCTACTGAAGGAAGGTTTCACGTGTGATCAGCTACTGAAGGAAGGTTTCACATGTGATCAACTACTGAAGGAAGGTTTCACGTGTAATCAACTACTGAAGGAAGGTTTCACATGTGATCAACTACTGAAGGAAGGTTTCACATGTAATCAACTACTGAAGGAAGGTTTCACGTGTGATCAAGGAAGGAAAGCCCATGAAGTGCCTCGTCCACACTAACTCGCGCTGCATGTAACAACCCGTGAATATAACAAGTCGTGGATATAACAACCCGTGAATATAACAAGTCGTGGCTATAACAACCCGTGAATATAACACGTCGTGGATATAACAACCCGTGAATATAACAAGTCGTGGATATAACAACCCGTGAATATAACAAGTCGTGGCTATAACAACCCGTGAATATAACACGTCGTGGATATAACAACCCGTGAATATAACAAGTCGTGGATATAACAACCCGTGAATATAACAAATCGTCGCTATAACAAACCGTGAATATAACACGTCGTGGATATAACAACCCATGAATATAACAAGTCGTGGATATAACAACCCGTGAATATAACAAGTCGTGGCTATAACAAACCGTGAATATAACACGTCGTGGCTATAACAAACCGTGAATATAACACGTCGTGGATATAACAACCCATGAATATAACAAGTCGTGGATATAACAACCCGTGAATATAACAAGTCGTGGCTATAACAAACCGTGAATATAACACGTCGTGGCTATAACAAACCGTGAATATAACACGTCGTGGATATAACAACCCATGAATATAACAAGTCGTGGATATAACAACCCGTGAATATAACACGTCGTGGATATAACAACCCATGAATATAACAAGTCGTGGATATAACAACCCGTGAATATAACAAGTCGTGGATATAACAACCCATGAATATAACAAGTCGTGGATATAACAACCCGTGGATATAACAACCCGTGAATTTTACAAGTCGTGAACCTTCAGCAGCTCGGTGTAGAACCTAAAGCAGTTCGGTGTAGAACCTAAAGCAGCTCGGTGTAGAACCTAAAGCAGCTCGGTGAAGAACCTAAAGCAGCTCGGTGTAGAACCTTCAGCAGCTCGGTGTAGAACCTAAAGCAGCTCGGTGTAGAACCTAAAGCAGCTCGGTGTAGAACCTAAAGCAACTCGGTGTAGAACCTAAAGCAACTCGGTGTAGAACCTTCAGCAGCTCGGTGTAGAACCTAAAGCAGCTCGGTGTAGAACCTTCAGCAGCTCGGTGTAGAACCTAAAGCAGCTCGGTGTAGAACCTAAAGCAACTCGGTGTAGAACCTAAAGCAACTCGGTGTAGAACCTAAAGCAACTCGGTGTAGAACCTTCAGCAGCTCGGTGTAGAACCTAAAGCAGCTCGGTGTAGAACCTTCAGCAACTCGGTGTAGAACCTAAAGCAGCTCGGTGTAGAACCTAAAGCAGCTCGGTGTAGAACCTAAAGCAACTCGGTGTAGAACCTAAAGCAACTCGGTGTAGAACCTAAAGCAGCTCGGTGTAGAACCTAAAGCAGCTCGGTGTAGAACCTAAAGCAACTCGGTGTAGAACCTAAAGCAACTCGGTGTAGAACCTAAAGCAACTCGGTGTAGAACCTTCAGTAACTCGAGTAGAACCCCCTTCAGTTCGAGTACAACTATGGTGTGTTCCCCGGTGTTGTTGTGTGTGGTGTGGTCGGGGCTGGTGGGGGTCGGGGCAGATGTCTACACCTCCTCAGCCCAGCTCCAGAAACTCATGGACACCGAGAGGCAGCTCCTGCTCTTCCTGGAGAAACTGTACACTCGCTTCTCCGAAGACGATCCAGCTCACAGAAGGTGAGTTCACAAGGTTATTTGTAGATGTTATTGTCAATATTGAGGTAGTGTGATTATTCTGTTAATTTCTGAAGCAATCCGAACTTAAATCACGTACACACTCACTCACTCACTCACTCACTCACCCGGTACGCTGAGAGATGGACAGAGTATATTGTACCACTCCACATCCACGGAACCTGGGAGTGGTCTGGTACATCTGATTGACATCGTCAGAGATATAGAGGATATTTCACGAGACATATGGAATATCCTATTTATTGTATACTTTTTTTATGAAAATTATTTATCATACGTTTAGATATGATTATATACAAAATCAACTTTAACAAAATATATTCTTCAAAACTAGGAGACCGCTGCTGGAAGCGAAAGAATACACGCTGGTCAAGTAACAAAAATGACGCTTTGCGAAACGAGTCTCGATTGACGAGTTAAATTGGGAATTTACAGCTTATAACGAAACATTTTCGAGAGAATAACAAACAGCAAGAAGTGATATTAACTCAATAAATGACCATCTCTCAATATTTTGCCTTGTCAATGTGGAACTAACGTAAAAAGGACGTCAACAGTTTGTGTATGGGCTAGACACTTACGATAAAGGGAGACAATTTAAGGGGAGGTGACTCCTGTATGACAAGTGTTATGTTCACTGCAGTGAAATATTAAGTGTTATGTTCACTGCAATGTAAATATCACTTTTCTTCAGAAAACTCTTTCACGCTGAAGTATATAATATTTCCTGTTTGTAACCGCTATGTCACGGCACCACTTTCATTGTTCCACTGAAGCGTGAGGTGGACTGATTTACAATTGTACGGCCATGTATGTGTCTGTCTGAATGTATCATGACGACAAGGTTGACAAAGACATGTCCGTGTTACGACGACACGGATGACAAGGATGAATATATGAAACCATTAACCTTTCTCATCAAAGTAAGTTTCCTACTGTAAATGTCCGTGTTTCCTTCAACTTGTCACATCAGAAAGTCCGGTATGTAAGCAACACCGGCGGGACACATTCACAACAGTCCTTTGTCGTCGGGGATTTGGGAACGCCAGGGAAATATGGAAGCGTATAATCTGCCTTTGTCTCTGATGACACACCTATTCTGTAAAGTAAAATACACTGTGTCCTTGTTGTCCCAGGTAGATGTTATTGGCCACTGTATATCAGCCCATACCTTGTCCCAGGTAGATGTTATTGGCCATTGTATATCAGTCCATACATTGTCCCAGGTAGATGTCATGTGCCATTGTATATCAATCCATACCTTGTCCCAAGTAGATGACATTGGCCATTGTATATCAGACATGCCTTATCCCAGGTAGATGTTATTGGCCATTGTATATCAATCCATGCCTTATCCAAAGTAGATGTCATTGGCCATTGTATATCAGACATGCGTTATCCCAAGTAGATGACATCGGCCATTGTATATCAATCGATGTCTTGTCCCGGGTAGATGTCATTGGCCATTGTATATAAGTCCATGCCTTATCATCTAGGTGCAGCTCCAGCCTTTCAGCGTCTACATTTCACAACTTTTCAGGTACATTCGACCATGCTTTTCTTCCAAACAGCGTCATACGACTCTTGCTCAGAAGTGTGTTTGATCTAGGTTATAACATTCAAGGCCCCAAAAGGTTTTAGGGTGGACAAGTGGGGGACATAACCTGTCAGTGACAAGAATGTCCGAAGCTATTCCCTCTTTTGACTTATACCATATGTCCCCGTGTGTTTTCCATGCCTTTGCATGTGTTTGTGGCGGCTGCGACCGGTGGTGCAGGATGCACTATTTGTATACTGATTTAAAAGCATGTTCTCCTGACACAGATGGAATGGTACGATCGACCCTGTTTCTTCTGAATATGGAAAGGGTTCTTCCGCTTTTATTTAAATAGTTTGACACAGTGAATACTCAATGATTGCCTCTCCTCAAGCGTCTGTTGTATAATCACATACAGTGTACATCGTAGATCAGTAAACATGGCTCATACAGGTTCAGTGTCTGTATTGCCTTTGTCTCTTGGTAGGGGAGATCGTATTGTCATGTGAGGTAAATATTAAGTATGCCCTTGAGCGATACAATTATCTCAGTGTGATCTAGCCATCCTGTCAACATTGACGCGCGTGCCTAGCTGTGGTACCAGGGCACCGTCACACACCTGCAGGCGAGCACTGTGTCCACGGTATCAGACATTTTGCCCGGTCGGGTTAAGCTGATCTCAGTATTGCTGACTACTGGTCTTGGCTATGTGAGTGAGTGAGTGTGGTTTTACGCCGCTTTTAGCAATATTCCAGCAATATCACAGCGGGGACACCAGACATGGGCTTCACACATAGTTTCCATGTGGGGAATCGAACCCGGGGTTTTCAGCGTGACGAGCGAACGTATAAACCACTAGGCTACCCGATCGCCCCCTTCGTATCCCTTCACGTTATATTCAGCATGTAGTATACCTACACTTTATATTCAGCATGTAGTATACCTTCACGTTATATTCAGCATGTAGTATACCTTCACGTTATATTCAGCATGTAGTATACCTTCACGTTATATTCAGCATGTAGTATACATTCACGTTATATTCAGCATGTAGTATACCTTCACGTTATATTCAGCATGTAGTATACCTTCACGTTATATTCAGCATGTAGTATACCTTCACGTTATATTCTGCATGTAGTATACCTTCACGTTATATTCAGCATGTAGTATACCTTCACGTTATATTCTGCATGTAGTATACCTTCACGTTATATTTAGCATGATAGATAGATTGTCTTTATTTCCTCCAGTACTGAAGATACATTATATAATATACATCGTAGATACTTGAATTAGATTAAAACTAAACAAAGAAGTTACATGTCATGGTGAAGGAGCTATGAACAAGTGTTGCCACTTGTTAACGTAATGAGAGACTAGTATCATAGTTTCGCCCCATATCTCAAGCTCAAGGTCTTTCATGCAATCAGGCAGCCCACCTAAGAGGAAAGACATGATAACATCATCATCATCTGACCAAAGGTCAACAAAGGAATTCGCATCTGTGATATCAAAGATATTTTCGAACATTTCATTTCTTTCTTGCATATTTATAGTACATGACATAAAAATGTGTTTGACTATGTCATGGGCTACAGTTCCGCAGTGACATTCTCGCGATTCTATCTTGGAGCATCCTATTTTGACCATATTAGACAGAACATAGAACTTTGAAGGAAATCGTAATGAAAGTTGCCAAATCCTGTGTTGACCTTCTGATCTGATACCAGTATATCTTAACAGGTCCTGTCGGTCACACATTTGTTTCAATAGCCTAACAGAGTCTACATTTCTTATCTTTTCATTCACAAGACTAGTCCATTTACATTTACTGGGAACATTACAATTATCTATGTAATCATTCAAGACATGGAAAAGATCGTATTTATGTACAAGGCGCAGCATGTTAAAACAGGGAGATTTATAACATCTTTTATCAAAGTCTGGTTGACATTTGTATTGCCCAAGTCTGCCAATAAACAGTTGTTTGAAATAGAAGTCGCAGCTAGATCGACACAGTTTACCAAAAAAGAGCAGAGCTTGTTTATCAATGTATGCCTGAATGGTAATAAGATCTAGACTATCCAATACAACTTCGCTTGATGTAAGTCTTGGTAGACCCTGTACTTTTTTACTGAAGTAGCGCTGTGGTATTTCCAGCAATTCATACTCTCTACCAGTAAGTTGCCCCCATACATTGCATCCATATAAGGCACATGGCAAGATAACTCTCTGTAGTATTCGCACAGCTGCAATTGGGTTCAACCCACCGAAATACAAGCCATTGTTATGATTTACATTAATAAGTCTTTTCAGTTTTTCACATGCAATACGCGAGCGTTCGAGTGTTGAGATACTGTCACTTAGGCATACACCAGCATACGTAACAAAATGTTTGTGTGGCAATTCTATCCTTCCACAGGAAACATGAGGGTCGGGTACATTATATTTACAATGCGAAAATACTACGACTGCACTTTTATTCACATTATAAACCAGACGCCATCTACACGCATAGTTGTGAGCAATATCTAGCAGGTTTTGCAGTGCTGATGGAGAGCTACTGACAATGGTTGTATCGTCTGCTAGCAGTTGACCTGGATAGTGACCCCAAGGTAAGCGGAGGCCGTAGCCAGAGCAATCAAGCTTGCAAATGAGATCATTGATATACACTGTGAAGAGCCAGGCGGATAATACACGTCCTTGACCAACACCTTGATAGATAGAAAATACATCTGAGTTGTAGCCTGCGTATGTAACATATGATTGCATGGACGAGTAGGCATTACGCAAAAGACGCCATGTTTTACCAGTTATACCCATGTCATATAACTTAACGAATAAGCCATCAAGCCATACTCTATCAAATGCCTTTGCGTTATCAAGAAATGCACAATAAACAACTGATTTTCTTTCCGTATAGTATGCAATGTTTTCGAGGAGGCTGAAGCAGGCTGTTTCAGCCCCTGCATTTTTGCGAAATCCGAATTGTAACGGATGCGGAAAAACACACTTTCTGTTTACCCACTTTTCAATTCTGAAGAGCAGGAGGCGTTCAAAAAGCTTACTGAGGACAGATGTTAGGGTAATCCCTCTGTAATTGTTTGGGTCAGCCTTGCTCTTACCATGACCTTTGTGAATTGGTAAGATCTTGCCTACGTGATAAGAAGATGGTATATGTTCATATTTAATTATAGCATTGAACATTGTAGTTAAATGGCCAAATAATGATCTACCTGCACGTTTAAGGTGTTCATTAGTTAGGCAGTCTGGACCTGGGGATTTTCCCATTTTCAAGGACTTGACAGTACACCAAACCTCTTGGGAGGTAAAAGGATCGGATAGCGGTGAATTAAGCTTTTCCACATCAGGATTTTTATAGATCTTTTCGATTAATTCTACTCTTTCCGTTACATGAGAAGCAAAAGATTCATCAAAACAA